TCATCCAGGGATTGTTATGGCCGCTTCCCTGCTACAAGAGCACTGTCGGTTACTTACAGCAGAGACCTGGGAAATATTTAACAGATGCAGAAAATCTTTGCACCGGGCTGGCATTTAAGTGAAAATACAAGAGGGCTCCTTCATGCCCTTGCATTCAGAGAGGTTTTGATGTTGGTACTCATCTCACTGCATCCAGGATAAGTACTTTTTAAACATTCTGTTTGGAGAGAAGAGAAGGCCGTGTAAGAGTACTGTACTTGAATTTCCTTGCAACCTAGCCCCCTACCCACAAGTAATTCAACTGCAAAGATTTTCACTCCTGGGACAAAGGTGGGGGATGCGAAAGGACCACATGGTGATGTGGGTACCTGAGCCAAATGATGTCGCTGTGAACAGGGGCTGGGAGAGGTGTCTTTTCATTATCTGGGGCACCCCCTGCCCTGCACCAGCTCAATAACAGGGGCCCCTGAGGACGCTTTCGATCCCTGTGGATGGTGTCAACTCACGCAGTAGGTTTACGCAGTGAAAACGTCCGGGTGGTCTCTGCTCCCCAGAGTACGCTCACCCCTGTAAATGACCACATGGCTCTTTGGGGAAGGCCAGCAGGAAGCATTGCTCTTGCTGTTGACCTGAAGGGTCCCTCCTGATTGGAACCTGGCTTCTGCTTCTGGTAAAGAGTTGCAGTTCTGAGGGGCGGCTCCGTTCTGGAACCTGGGCAGAGGATCCAGAGTCTCTGTGGGGTCACTGCTTTCAGCTTCCTCCTCATCCATCTTGGGGATTGGTCTTTGCTTTTATTGTTTAACTCCAGCAGTCTTCGGGTTGGCTGTCCAACTACTTTGCCTTTACAGTCATGTGTTCTGTGAGCCAGAGGGATGGACAGCTTTCTGTGGGTCAGGCCCCCGGCTGCTTTCCCGTGTCTAGGAACATTCTAGGATCATTTCAATCGTTGCTGCCTCCCTGCTTCGGACAGTTGAGCGCCTGTACCTCAAATCTATTATATCAGGACTTCCCACCGCCAATACCACTGGGAGCCTATTTCTGCAACACCGTCCCATTACCGCCAAGCTTCTGCCTTCAAAGATAGCCATCACTAAGCTTCTTTTGTTTTAATTTCTTGAGAGAGAGAGAGACACACACACAGCGCAAATGGGGGAGGGGCAGAGAGAGAAGAGAGACAGAGAAGGAGAGAGAAGGAATCCCATGCAGGCTCTGCACTGTCAGTGCAAAGCCCGATGCAGGGCTCGAGCCACAAACTGGGAGATCATGACCTGAGCCAAAGTTGCACACTTAACTGACTGAGCCACCCAGGCGCCCTGCCATTACTAAGCTTCTTCAGGATTTTGGTGCCTTCTCACCATGCATTGTTTTTTGGTTTCTGTTTTTTGAATTTTATTAAAATCTAAGCTAACATGGCGTAATAATGGTTTCAGGAGTAGAATTTAGGGATTCATCAATTACATGTAACACCATGCTTGTCCCAACAGGTGCCCTCCTTAATGCCCCCCACCCATTCAGCCCATCCCCCCACCCATTACCCCTCCAGCAACCCTCAGTTTCTTCTCTGTATTTCAGTCTCTTATGGTTTGCCTCCCTCTCTGTTTGTATCTTATTTTTCGTTCCCTTCCCCTATGTTCATCTGCTGTGTTTCTTAACTTTCCACATATGCGTGAAATCATATGATATTTCTTTCCCTGACTGACTTATTTTGCTTAGCATGATATACTCTAGTTCCATCCACAGGCTGCAAATGGCAAGACTTCATTCCTCTTGATCACCAAGTAGTATTCCATTGTGTATTTCTACTAGATCTTCTTTATCCGTTTGTGACTCAATGGACGTTTGGGCCCATTCCATAATTTGGCTATTGTGGATAGTGCTGCTAAAACACTGGGGTGCATGTGCCCCTTAAAATCAGCATTTTGGTATCCTTTGGAGCGGTACCTCGTAGTGCAACTAAGGGGTCATAGGCTAGTTATA